AGCTTTTGTTTATCACTATTCTACAACTGAGTACATTACTAATTGTGACGAGTTTGTGGGGGGGGGGGTTGGTGGGCAGCTTTTACTTAAGGAATATAATGTAATTAGACTAGAATAAAACAAGAAAGGCATACAATTCCTAGGAGTCTTCCATCTCCAAATTCCGTTAGTTTTATCTATTGAATAAATATTTCTCAGATTCATCTACTTTCCTCCATTACTATTACTTTCCTCCATCTCTTGCCTGATCGTTTGCAATGGCCTTCCTACTCGGCTGTCTGGATGCTTTCTGGTAGGGTCCCACACTGCACCCATTGTGATCTTTTCAAAACAGTTGGTCTCTGCCAAAAAAACCTTCATTGCCTTAAGAATGCAATAGCATGGCCTAAGGGCCTGATATGAAATAGGTCCTGCCCACCACACACCTCTCTCATCATAGTTCTTTCCTTTGGCTCTGCTAACCTTTTTTTTATTCCCATGGTTCTCTTGCCTCTAGGTCTTTGCAAATGCCATTCCCCCTGCGTTGAACTCTCTTCCCTCCTCTTTTGCCCTATCTAGCTAAAACTCATCTTTCAGCACTTACTATAAATGCAGTTTTTCACCAGCGCCCCCCCCCCCCCGCCCCCCACTATGGGTTAGAATAGTGATTTTCAGCAGCAAGGATTTTTTTTTAAAGCATGCAGTACCTGACTATTTAGTCAGGGCACTGACCTGTTTTCCCTTAGATTGTCAAAAAAATGACAACACTTGAATAGGCCAATAACAAATGAGGAAATTGAAGCAAAAATAAAATAAAATAAAATAAAATAAAATAAAATAAAATAAAATAAAATAAAATAAAATAACATAAATTAAAAAAAATGACAACAGCCAACACAACAATAGCTGTCTGGTGTGAATGAATAAAAATTATACCTGTTTTTGTTTTGTTTTTTGTCAGATTAGCAAAAAATATATTTTGTGGTGTGCTGCAGAATTTTAGTGATTAGTTTATTTGTGACATGAGATGAAAAAGGTGGAAAGTCACTGGGTTAGAATGAAGACTGTAACCTAAAGAAAGAAAGTCCTACTTAGTAACTGGGAGTATTAATTTTTTAAAAAATTAAAATTTCTTCACAAAGGAAGCTGACTTTCATATGTGGCTCATAATTTAAAAATTAGATTTAGTTACTAATATCTTTATATTTTATCAATTAACACTAGTTAATATTTACTGTCATAGTAAGTATCAGTCCTCATTTACTACTGAGCACTTATATGCCAGGTATATTTTAAGCGACTTACATGAATTTATCACTTAGTCTTCGGAGAACCCTATGAGGCATATACTATTTCTCTCCCTATTTTAGAGAGAGGAAAACTGAGAAATGAAGTAATTTGCTTCTATTACAAGGTTGGTGAAATGTCAGAGCCAATATTAAAATCTAAGCAATCTGATTCTGTACTTGTATCCTATTTATATGTAAATAAAATTAAATAGGATTATTGAAAGGCTTATAATACCCACGGCAACAAAAATCCAGTCAATGCTCATCTCCCCTAGTCTGCTGACTAAAGGCAACCACTTTGACACTTTAAGATGGGTTTCTTCCAATATTTACCTTTTGAAATAACATGCTTATACTACTATTTCTTAATTTATCAATATTTGACATTATGGTAGATAACGTCATTTTTGTAGATAAATATTTAGCTCTTTCACACACATACCCCCTGCCAATATAATTCTCACATTCTTTCTTTTAGTATGCATTTTAGTATTTATTATGGTATAAATATTGTTCCCTGCTGAGCTAAGCAAGTGTATTAGGAGTATGGTTCCTTACTTGTAGATATGTTTTTTTTTATCCTGGAATTAATAATTAACTAATTTAAGAAAAATAAATTTGTTTTGTTTTTCCATATGTCAATTTTTATTGCTATACTTCCACATCTCAGTTTGATTTTTCCACATAATTGAATCTATCAGGTATATTGGCCCCTTGCTGGAGCCATCTGTCTGTCCTCTTGTTCCAATTGTACTGTTGCTTTCTAGGCTTTTTCCATAGCTGTCGTTTGGGATTTCTCTTTGCTGACATTTCCTTTGGAGTCTCTGTTTCTTAGATACTATGGCTTTTGTTGTTTATTTACTCCCTCATTTGGGTGGAACATATTCCCCGGTAGCTTTCTGACAAATGCTAAATGGAATTAAGAAATTTGAGATACTGCTTGTCAGAAAATCTTCATGTTACCTTTACATTTTCTTTTCTCATTAATGTATTACTATCTTTTTAAGTAGTTCCTCTGTTCACCTGATTTAAAGTTTTTTAAAAAGTAAGGAAGGGTATATTTCTTTCAAACTGCTCTCTGATACTCATATTTTCTCTCTGGAGGCAACCAATGCTATCTTTTAAAATATAAAAACAATATGCATATATTTTCTCTCTTTTTAAAAAGCAAATAAATTTTGCTTTTTCCCCCATTTAACTTATTTTGGAGAAAACTTATCAGTATATAAAGTAGCTTCTTTGTTTTTATCTTAGCATAATATTCCACCATATCATAACTTATTAAGTTTCATGTTGTTACTAGTAGAGTGATAGATTGTTACAACCTTTTGATATTCAAACAGTGCTTTAATGTGTAAGTTTACAGGCCATCATTTCACTTGTGTACAAGCATATCGGTGGGGTAAATCTCTAGAAGTTATTCTCACACCTGATACATTGATGGGGAATTGAGACCTTTCACATTGATGATTCCTAGTCAAATGGGATAAGGGTATAAGGATAAAAAACACACACCCAATAGCCAATACCTGATGGCACAGTGGGCCCTTCTGGAGGACAATAGTGGAGAGAGGGTTTTCATTGAGCTTTTTGACCATGGCCTTTATTTTTTCAGATATGGCTCATCTTTTTGAATTGGATAACACTTGTTTCTATTGTTAACTTCAGTTTCCTTCTGATAGTCTTTGTCCTCTTATCCTCACCTTCTTTACTGTTCATGGCCTCTTGTCCTTATTTTAGCTCTGGTTCTTCCTCTGAAAATAATCCAGAACAGAGAGAGCATTCCATTATCTGGTCCTTTTCAACAAGTCAAAAACCCATCCTTAACACACTTTGCAATTTAACCACCTCCCCAGACTCCCATTGATTCATTTGCTGAGTTCAGCTAACTCTACCTCCTAAATCTCTTCCCAAGCTCCCACACCCCTTCCTGTCATCTCTTGCCTGGATTATTCTTAATAGTCTCCTAACTGCCTCTAGACTCCTTTCTCTTCCCCTAGCCCCCTAATCCATATTCAGCAAAGCTTCAAGAATAATCTTTCCAAATTTCTGTTCTTATTAGGTCATTACCCTGCTTAAACTCCATCTAGGCCTCTCCCCTTTGCCTAAAGAATTAAGTACAAATCCGATACAATTAGGTACCCCTCCCTTTTTTCTTTTGTACCTACTACAATTCCTGTCTTATAGCAGAGTTGTAATACATATTTGTTAAAACAACTAAACAACCAAAGTTGGTTTCCCTATACTTTAGTGTTTTTCCCCTCTTCCTTTTTTTTATGTGGAGCCTGGCATTAAGCATATGTCTCATAGACCTCACTGTGGGTTAATTGTCTATGTATGGTCCTGAAGACAATTACTGAAGGGCAGCTTTTGAAAGAGGAATGTAAGTTTAGGCTAACACTGTTTTGTTTTGTTTTTTTCCAACTGAAACATATATTAAAAAGGTCTTTTCATACTTTCACCACGAGGAGTGAGTAATTTCAGATGGTAATTGTATAAGTGGAGTGATATTGTGTGCTTCACATTAGGCACATATATAGCCTAATCGTAAAGACAGACATTGCTTTTATGAACAGTGTTTGTGGAGAATTAATTTTGTTCTTTCACATCTGAGGATTTAGCAGCTAACAGAGAAAGGAAGGGGTAAGTATAGGTAACCATATCAATATTGATGTTGAAGTCTTTTTGAATTTCTAGACTGGGGGTTGGAAAACTGCACCCTTGGGCCCCTGGTTTTGTAAACACAAACACAATTTTATTGGAACCACCAGCTATGTTCATTCATTTATGTATTGTCTATGGCTACTTTGGCATCAGAAAAATTGACTTGAATAGTTGCAAAAGGGCCCACCAAGAAAAAAAAAATACTATTTAGCCCTTTACAGAAAGTTTGGGGACACCTGTTCTAGAGGGAAATGGAAGTTGAGAGGTGGAGGATAAATGAATGTGGATAAACCTGTAGCTAGGTGAGAGCAAAGTGATAGCTATTGATCAAGCAGTCTTACTCTCTTTGCTTCCCAACTCACCTATCCTTAGTATTTTGGGACCTCAAAGGAAGAAGGAAGGGACAGAAATTATTTTACTACTTGGGAGTGCTTGGACTCCTTCATAAACATCTGACTAGATTTATTGTGGGCACATCCACTTCCAACTATATTCCATGACAAGGCCTAGACACTCCCTTCACTAAGGTTTTGAGAAAAGCAGTGAGGGGAGCCCCTGCATCAGTGCAAAAGACATCTGTGATTGCTCTCCTTTGTAGGCCATTGAGATTGGCTCCCTGATTTCAGCAGGAGCCAAGTGACAGCACTTAAACACCAGGGACAAAGTAGGTACATAAACAATAATGGAAAGCAGAGACATAGATGTAATCAGAAGGTATTGGCTCACAAATGGTTTTGGTAGATAAGGTAATGTCTTTGGCAGAGTTCTAGTGGTAACTAATAAATGAAATAGATGGGCAGAATTACAGTATCACTTTGTGTATAGAACAGGAAAACTCTAGGTCTGCTAGCAAAAATGTTGATTTTAGTTGATGCAGTTGAGGGTCACGACCTCTCACCCAGTTGCCAACCATAAGACATATGGTGGACAAGATGACACACTGTGGACGTCAGCTGCTTTCCCCAGCTCCTCCAGGGCTTGTTCAGTGGGCCCATAAGCATGGCCCTGGTGGCAGGAGGGGAGGCTATGTATGCATAGGCTAAGAATATGGACTTCCTCTTTCTACAGGTGACCTGGCTAGCACTACTGCCAAGTTCCTGATCTGCAGAAACCAACACTGAGTGCCTAGGGGTACCAGCCAGCCACTGGAGCAGGTTGATTATATTTGATTTCTTACACCATTGAGCGAGCAGAGATTTGTCCTCATTAGAATTGGTAAATATTCCAGATATGGATTTGCCCTTCCTGCCAGCACCAACATCTATGGACTCACAGAATGCCCAAGGCCAGGGTAAATACAGAATGGGTAGTGGAAGAAGGAAGCCATAGATGCCAATTATGGCCTCATGGCCAACTAGATAAATGAGAATTGTAGTAGCTTTGCACATTTTCCCTTTGCTTTATGTGTGTGTGTGTGTGTGTGTGTGTGTGTGTGTGTGCCCGCGTGTGTGTGTTGTGTTTCTTTTTATATGCTAACAATTTTCTTAACTCCTTCCCCTTTTCTTTTAAAAACATATTACATAGGTGTTAGAGATTAAATTTACAACTTAGTCTTTAAGTAACAGAATATGAAGTGGGACTGACATAGAATTTGAGAAGTAATTCACATATAGCCACAGCAATGGCTACAATGGCTGTTGGTTCTGCTTCTTTTCATTTTGAGGTATCTTCTTCACTGTAAGAAGGATGCTTCGTCTTGTTAGGTGGGATGTGGAACTGTTTTGTTATTGTACAGGAGTTCAAGTATTTGGGAAAGTGTGCATATGGAGGCTGAGTAGTCACAAGGGTGAACAATGCTGTTCAGTTTATTGTTTCTCAACTCCGAATGCATTCTATTTGCCACTTGGTAATAACGGAGCTGGGCCCTGTAAATATTGCTCTTTTGCTGGCTGCCACAATGGTGGGAAGGGGCTTTTCTTCTTGGTTTCAGAGTGGCTCACTGGCGAGGCTCTTGCTGGCCTATCTTCTTCTCTACTACTCAGTCCCTTCCTCTCCCCACCAGTGTTCTCCAGTCTAAGTAATTGCATTCTCTAGAGTCGATATCTGCCTGCCCCTGCACTTTCTCCAGAGCTTGACTTGGGCAGCAGTGATGTTATATCCTGGGGCCACAGACATCATGGACCTATTCTCTAGCCCAGGTCACTGTTCCCCACACTCTTTTTTAAAAATATATTTTGTTATTGATTTCAAAGAGGAAGGGAGAAAGAGAGAGAGATAGAAACATCCATGATGAGAGAGAATCATTGATGGCTGCCTCCTGCACACCCCCTACTGGGGACTGAGCCCACAACCCAGGCATGTGCCCTTGACTGGAATCGAATTCAAGACCGTTCAGTCTGAAGGCTGATGCTCTATCCTCTCAGTAGGGCCCTCATACTCTTTCTTTAACCCCACACATGTGCACACTGGGGACCCCACAAGACTGGGTGTCTAGGGAGCTGGCTGCTCAGCTTTTATCCCAGGTGCCAGCCTGGAGCTATGTTGGCCCAAGATGCATATGCAAGTGCACTAGACTCCTGCAGAGGACAGCTTCTTAACTCCAGTTTCCACCAGTAGCTAGCAGTTTTCCTCAGCACCACCTCGCCAGTCCTAGGATTTGACAACTCCCTGTGAAGGGCTCCTTCCAAGACTCCAGGAGGCAGACTTCTGACAAGTCTCACCAAGTGAGGCACCTCAGTGACTTTTCCACTGTCAGGGAACCAACACCATGCCTTCTCTGTAGAGACCTCTAGATCTCAGCCCTGGGGAGGGGAAAGCTCTTCCTTGGCCCTCATCTCAGCCTTAGGGGTAGTGGTGGGCCCTTATATCCAGTTCTGTATTCTTTAGAATTTCTTTAACTCTCACTAGCCAGTTCCATTCCCCTAACCCATAACTAATAATAGATTAAACTTTCCTTGCTCAAATCACTATGCAATTTCTGTGTCCTTACTAATCTAAAAGCCATCAACTATGCTTGCAATATAACTAGTTAGATGGACACATCTTTTTAAAATGCAGTGCTTCTGCCTGGGGGAAATATTAATTAAGTGAATAGTCTGTGGAACCACGCCAATCACACCTCAAAATTCCTCTACTCTCTAATACGTCATATGTAATCAATATATATCTTTCCTATGTTATGTGAAATTCATTCGCAGGTACAGAGGTAGCAGGAGAAAGTATGTGAGCTCCCCTTCTAACCCCTCGCCCCACCCTCCATGGGTAGTGTAACTCCATAATTCCTTTCTTGCACCAAACTGTAGAATTGACTGGTCCACAAATCAAGATCTGTCTTCAACCTTTCACCTTCAAAGATGTTTATCTGACCAGGTGTAGCAGTGGATGTCTCACCATGCCCTTCTGTTTAATAAAACCTGTGCCTCATAATTGCTGGAGGTTAAACTCTGTCAGTAGGCTTTTTGTCTCGTAATCTAAAGAAACCTTTGTTCAAAAAATCATCCTATTTTATGACAAGTATGTGCCTTAGGTGTCTGCTGATGGCATTTTCCAGCCATCTGGAACAACTCTGCTTTGTCTTTAGCAGGGGATCTTTGAGGTATGTCTGCATGTGGCTATCTCAACACAGTGTGCTTTGCATCATTGTTTGTCCCTTGTCATACATCCATAAATCACTTCATGCTCAGAAGAATTGCTGGCAAGAATGTGAATGAACATGGACTTACACATAATCAAAACTAACAAACTGCAGTAGTAAATCACCATGAAATTTGACTCCACCAAAAAATATAAGCAGAAATCGCTTCCTGCCACTTCTCCATTCCCTAACATTTCACCAGCAGATAACATTTCTGCCCAAGCATTTAAGGGTTTATTATCAGGGCCAGTTCTTGTTTTTTTGTTTAGTTTTCAAATTTAATTTTTTCTAGGTTTGAAAAACTGTTGCATGATATTCCTTACTCAGTTAGTGAATCCAGATGATAATCTGTGGCAAAGATTTAATGAGTATTAATTCACAGTAGTGTACTTTTAAAAATTTACCAGCTATGCTAGGGTTTGGGGATGTAATTTTGTAATTTCTTGCTTGGTGTGGTTACCTTTAACTTTTTACAGCACGCTTTAACTCGGTATCAAGCAAGTTTCATACACCAATTAGGCATTGTGCCCATTAAAATCAATTGGAACCAGACCTTAAGTCCCTGGAGCTGTAAAGTTTTATTATCACAAATACAGAAACAAGAGATGGAAAGAATCACTATCCTCTTATTTTATTAAATGGTACCTTCACATGCAGTTATGAAGTGTTCTGCTTTTCACTGCATTAGAAGATTGTTTCAGTTGGAATTTTAAACCAACATTCTTGCAATGTGTGCTTTTCCACCTGGAGGGACAGCCACAGCTATGAAGATGGATCTTATCTTGATATATCCCCACCTGTTTGTATTTAAACAGCATCCCCAGGTGCTTCATTGTCACATTAAAGTTTGGGAAGCTATAGTCTAGATAAATGGAAGCCACAGCTTTGTAGTTAGATTATTTTAATTTGTGAGATTTCAGTTTTTTTCTGTTGAGATGAAAGCAAATTTTTTTCTTTCTTTTTAAAAATGTCTTTTTATTATTTTAAAGAGAGAGGAAGGAAGAGGGAAGGAGAGAGAAACATCAACATGGCTGTCTCCTGCATGCTTCCTACTGGGGACTGAGCCAAAACCGGACATGTGCCCTGACTGGGAATGGAAACAGCAGCCTTTCTGTGGACAGGACAATGCTCAACCAGCCACATTGGCCAGGGCAAGATGAATGCATATTTTACCCTTAAGAATAATCCATTGATTTTTAACCCAGTCTCATAGACATAGAGTCATGCATATTGTTTTAGCCTTTCAGAGTATCATTTTGTGGATATTTTTATTTATTATTAATGCCTTTTTGTAAGGCCTACATGTATAGTAGGATATAGATATATTAACATATATATATATATATATATATATATATATATATAGAGAGAGAGAGAGAGAGAGAGAGAGAGAGAGAGAGAGAGAGAGAGACCGAGACCAGAAGGTCTCTGAGTTTTTTTATTAAATTTATTGGGGTGACATTGTTTAATATAATCATACTAGAGGCCTGGTGCACAAAAATTTGTGCACACGTGGGGGGAAGGGGGATCCCTCAGCCTGGCCTGTGCCCTCTCGTAGTCTGGGACCCCTCGGGAGATAATGACCTGCTGGCTTAGGCCTGCTCCCGGGTGGCAGAGGGCAGGCCCAATCCCTAGGTGCAGCCCCTGGTCAGGCTCAGAGCAGGGCTGATTGGGGAGTTGGGGCGCCGCCCCCTGTCATGCACAGAACAGGGTCGATCAGGGAGTTGGGGAGCTCCCCCCCTGTCACGCACAGAGCAGGGCCCATCAGGGGGTTGAGGAGCTCCCCCCTGTCATGCATAGAGCAGGGCCCGTCAGGGGGTTGAGGAGCTCCCCCTATCACTCACAGAGTAGGGCCAATAGGGGAGTTGGGGCATCGCCCCCTGTCACACACAGAACAGGGCGGATCAGGGGGTTGGGGCCCTGCCCTCTATCACCCACAGAGCAGGGCCGATCAGGGGGTTGAGGCACCGCCACTGTCACACTCAGGGCAGGGCCGATGGGGAGGTTATGGCTCTACCCCATCACACACAGAGCAGGGCCCATGAGGGGGGGTGGTTGGGGCACCACACCCTTTCACACACAGAGCAGGGCCGATCAGGGGGTTGGGGCGCTGCCACTCTCACACTCAGGGCAGGGCCGATGGGGAGGTTATGGCTCTACCCTGTCACACACACAGCAGGGCCCATGGGGGGGTTGGTTGGGGCGCCGCACCCTGACACGCACAGACCAGGGCCCATCAGGGGGGTTGGGGTTCCGTACCCTGTCACGCACAGAGCAGGGTCAATCAGGGGGTTGGGGAGCTCCCCCATGTCATGCACAGAGCAGAGCCGATCAGGGGGTTGAGGAGCTCCCCCCTGTCACTCACAGAGTAGGGCCTATTGGGGAGTTGGGGCACTGCCCCCTGTTACACTCAGGGCAGGGCGGATCAGGGGGTTGGGGTGCCGCCCTCTATCAACCACAAAGCAGGGCCGATCAGGGGGTTGGGGTGCCTTCCCCTGTCACGAACAGAGCAGGGCGGATAGGGAGGTTGTGGCCCCACCCTCGTCACACACAGAGTCGCAGGGCAATCAGGGGGTTTGGGCGCTGCCCCGTCACGCTGATCCCGGTGCCGGGAGGCCTCTCAGCTCCGCTGATCCCAGTG